GTATGTGTGTGTGTATATATATATATATATATATATATATATATATATATATATATATATATATATATATATATATATATATATATATATATATATATATATATAATATATATATATATATATATATATATATATATATATATATATATATATATATATATATATATATATATATATATATATATATATATATATTATATATATATGTGTGTGTGTGTGTGTGTGTGTGTGTGTGTGTGTGTGTGTGTGTGTGTGTGTGTGTGTGTGTGTGTGTATGTATATATATATATATATATATATATATATATATATATATATATATATATATATATATATATATATATATATATATAACCATTAAGCTATGATAAAAATGCACGATAATATATCAGCTAACATAAAAACATATATGATAATACTGATAATCTTAATCAATAAATTCCAAAGTAGCAAAATCTGTAGCTGGTTTCTGATCATTTTGATAAGGATTGTCACATCTCGTCACATTCTTTTCTCGTGTGATATCGAACCCTGATAGGAAAATCCTCTACTGATATCCTTATAAAAAAGTAAATTTATATCTATGACGAAATATCTTGAGCGGGGAATTTGCAAAGATGTAAACATGTTGATATCACTTGATAAAGTATGATTATAAAAAGATGATAAAGAATATGAAAAAAAAACAGAGATTGATAGACAGGAGAATTCAAGAGAAGTAGACGAAAAATATAGATAATTATAAGTAAAAGTATATTAAGCGAAAATGATAGACAGGAATGAGAGAAAAGAAACATATATTGTCATTTTAAATTCAAAAGCACAAAAAATTCACATGATTGCTTAAAGGTGTAAGCTCATATACTATAATTATATTAATACAAACATTTCCATTTATATACCTACAATCTGAGCCAGGCTACAGCAATTAGTATAATATAGAATAGTTTGGAAAACGGCTGTTGTGCAGGAGTGTTTGTAGGAATACAGTAACGTATGTGTATTACTTATAAAACGCTTTTGTCAATGGATGTTTTTTTACTGACTGTGTGTATGTAAATATATATATACATATATATGGACATATATAAGTACTGTACATCACGCTCACATATTTCCGCTTCCTCTCAAAGACACGTATAATCGAATACACACAAGTACACACAATCACACACGCAAACACAACACACACACACACACACACCACACACACACAAGCACACACACACACATAAACACACACACACACATGCACCTCTCTCACGAACAAATTCACATGCGCATTTTCCCAACCATTATAAAACATTTATTTTCTAACAGCAATTTAATATCCAATATCTCTTACAACCCCCCCCCCCCCAAAAAAAATAATAATAATAATAAATAAATAATAATAAATAAATAAAATAATAAATAAATAAATAATAAAATAAATAAGTTAATAAATAAATAAATAATAAATAAAATAAATAAATAATACAAATAAAAACCCTAATTTGAAGAAATCGTCAACCTGAGGTTTAAGATGATAATGGAGAGATAACAGAGATATAGATCCTGTGCTTACAGCTGTTACGCGCTACCTGGCAGGTGTTTGTTTCGTCCGTTATTTCATTTTGGTATTTCTTCATGTATATGTTTATCACTATTTTTTTGTTACCTGCATACATACATCCCATACATGTGTGTGTGTGTGTGTGTACATACATACACACACACACACACACACACACACACACACACACACACACACACACACACACATATATATATTATATATATATATATATATATATATATATATATATATATATATATATATATATATATATATTGCATGTGTTCGTATCCACGCGTTAGTATTCTAAGCAAAAAGACTTTACTTTTTCATCACACGACGATCTAAATGAACCTATTTAATCCCAAGTAAATATTTTAAGTGAAAAAAATTGAGAAGTAAAAAAAACAAAATGAATTTTAAAAAAATACAGCCAGTTTTCCAGAATATCCCTGTCATTCTTTCGCCAATCCTGACCACGTGTTTTCATCTGATCCAGAAATCTCACACTTACATCCACACGCCACCGAGGCTTCTGTGTGTGCGGGTTCTTAAACGCGCACACGAATCCACACGCGCGCATAATCACTCGTACTCACACACGTATGTATGTAATGTATGTATGTGATATTACACATGGAGACGTATGGTCGCACATGCATACACATAAATATAAAGCAGAAATACGTGGACACGGAAGTAAACACATAACAGTACACAACACACACACAAACACATCAAACACAACACACACACCACACACACACACAACACACACACACACACACACACACACACACACACACAACACACACACACACACACACACACACACACACACACACACACAGGCACTCATATGGGTACAAAGACACACTCCCACACATACACACATACACACGCACTCATGCCTCCAACCATACCCCTTTTTCCAGCCTTCCA